AATATAACACTATAAACCTAAAAATGTGAAGAATATAAATAAATGTTAATTTATAAATATTTTATAAATATTTTATATTTATTCTAACTTTTATGTAAGTGAACAACGCTTCTGTTTTTTTGCATATTGAAATTTTTTTAATTCACAAAATAGTAGTGACAATTCTCAGGTTGTTTAACCACAAAATGGTTCGTGTTTTACTGCTGACTTAATATTCAGTGTGTCGCACAGCGTGTTACAAAACAGCGTTACGATATCCTTTGCTAGACCGATAACATAATCTTTACACAACTCAGCTCAGAAAACTCTCATAGCAAGGTAGGTAGAAGTAGATATATTAGCAATTGTCGTAAAATTTTCTATGTATGAATATTAATGTTCGTTAAAATACGTTAATTCTATCCGCAAATATTTTTTACTTTGGTTGAAAAACTATTTGCCAACCTTTACTATCCTATTTCTTACGAAAATACAGAATAAAGTTAAGTTTCCATAGCGATACTCAATAAAAATCAGTTTAATTTATCTTATATAAGTATACACTGTTAGAAATGTAACCACGAGCTTTATATATAAATGAAGCTCATGGTTATGAATGAAATTAAAAGTAATGAATGATTTAATTGAAAATTAAATAATTACTTAAATGTAATGAACGTGTACATTAAATTTCATAAATTTTCATGAAAAATGTGTACATTAAATTTTATGTATATGTACACAAATATACTTTTTAGTTATAAATACATTAAATTTATAATGTAATGTCATAAAATTAAGTTCAAATTGTATAATTTAACATTTAATGAAATTTAAGAACAATTCTAACAGTGTAAATATGTAAATAATAATAAAAGTCTCGTAATTTTTCAATTATCATAAATATCAATGTAACGCAAATATTAATTTATCTAATAGCGTTTTCTCTTGACTGCACTATCGCTTATGCGACACTCAGGTAGTGTACCGTGTTCATGGTACCGTTTCTATGGTTGACGGTAAGCGAACTCATTCGGTGTATCGTGTTTCCTTGGCTACGGTGTAGTACAAATTTTATGCACGAAGTGGGATTTTGCTACACCACCTCAAAGGAACAGTGTAGAGCCAGTGTGGCATTTGAAAATGGAAGTCAAGTGGGAACAGGATTTTAGCGCAATAATGATGTAGTGTACACCATGGTGTGTACCACCACTCTAGTATAGCACTTATACGCAACTGGTATGGTGCGAGGCTGCACCCAGTGCAGCCCAAGAGAAAACGCTATAAGTTGTCAGACATTATCAATGACTACGTTTACCGCGCTTAATCCGCGACCTATACGATTATTTACAAGATAAATAAAGATATCTATTGAATAGACCGCGGCCTAAATGATGTAAACGTAGCCATATTAATTACCACACACACACACACACACACATACACACATATGACAGATTTTTTAAAATTTTGTATCTAAAAAAAATTATCTTCGTCGTGTAGTGAATTATTATAAAATTATTTTCGCCATAAGAGAGCCAGAGAGAATTTACTTATTATAGTAGATTAGAAATATTTTTAATTGATCAATTGATTAAATCAATACGTTCTGCTCTCGATGCATGTATGTCAGTCACAATCACACAAAATCATGGGAACAACACTAAGAAGATTAACGTGATACGTTAAATAATTTGTTATTCTGACAATATCCAATTTGATAAAATAGTTTGATTAAAGGACTCTAATGGATTCGGCATTATTCTCAGCAAAATGCAATAATGACGCGTGGAAAACAACCGTTTCGCTCGCGGCGATTGGCGTTGAAGAGATTATCGTCGCCGTTATGTCACACGCGATCTGACAGACCGACTTCCGTTTACAAGAAACATATATTTCGTCAATGGTTTTCACTTTTCATTATTTCATTAGCAGCTACGAGACGAACGGAGTGTACATTCAAAATCGTTTCGGAGCAGGAAGCATAGCAGTTCTAACTTTGTACATGATTATCTGATATTTGCGATCTATAAGTTGCAGTGATCAAGTATTTAATGGCAATTCAATGTATAATTCATTGTAAGTGGCCGCTCGTGCAATAAACGAGGCAGTTGGCTGCTTCAGAAAAATTATAGATTTTATTGAAAACATAATTAATCCTCATTTTGCGGGGACAAAGTTTAACGAACAGTTTTACACACACACACACGCGCGCGCGCGCACGAACACACGCACGCACACGCACGCACGCACACGCACGCACACGCACACACGCACGCACACGCACACGCACACACGCACGCACACGCACACGCACACACGCACGCACGCACACACACACACACAGTTTCTGTTTTTCTTCATCGACATTTCATTTGAATGAAAAGATAATAATAGATTTTATATTCCTCTTCGTACTGATATATTCTTACATAATTTATTACTGTTTAAATAGATCTAATCTCTGCTATGTATATAATTGTTAATAACATTTTAATTTATGTGCGTATCATATATTAATTTATAAACTTTTTTTATATAATTACTATATATAAATATAAATATAAAAACTATATATACCTCTATATTATAATTTAAAAACATTTTCAATTTTCTTTCAGTGTAAGTTTATAATTATAAATTTTTAAAGGATT